CTATATCATTTCAAAGCAAACAAACTTGCTATATGTTAAATGATTTGTTTGTGAAGTATGCTTGTGCCATCTTTAAAATCAATTAAAATAAGCAATTTAACATCTAATGATCAGTTTAAAAAAGGTTAGGGTCGGCACGTTTTAGCACTGATTAAGCATGGATGTATTAAATTGATCAAAAGCGACAAAAAATACATTTATGTGATTGTATATAAATGTATGGAAGCCCGTTTCTGCCACTTAAAAAATAAAAAAAGGTTATTGCTACTTTTTATCTTGCAATTATATATTAAGATATAAAGTCAGATTTGCGAGATTTAAAAAAAAAAATAAATAAATTAAAAAAAAAAAATTTAAATCGCAATTCTGACTTTTTCCTCAAAATTGCGAGTTTATATCTCGCAATTCTGACTTTATAACATATATAAAATTGCGAGTTATAAAGACAGAATTGCGAGATATAGTCACAATTGATAGTTATAAAGTCATAATTGATAGTTATAAAGTCATAATAATTGATAGTTATAAAGTCAGAATTGATAGTTATAAAGTCATAATAATTGATAGTTATAAAGTCAGAATTGCGAGATATAAAGTCAGAATTGCGAGATAAAAAAAATCGCAATTCTGACATTTTTTCTCGCAATTCTGACTTTTTTCTCAAAATTGCGAGTTTATATCTCGCAATTCTGACTTTATAACATATATATAAAATTGCGAGTTATAAAGACAGAATTGCGTGATATAAACTCGCAATTGCGAGGAAAAAAGTCGCAGTTACCTTTTTTATTTTTTATTCAGTGGCGGAAACGGGCTTCCCTATAAATTAAATGCTGTAATTAAATGTTTTCTGAGCAACAAATCAGTATATTAGAATGATTTCTGAAGGATCATGTGACACTGAAGACAGGAGTAATGATGCTGAAAATTCAACTTTGATCACAGGAATAAATTACGTTTTACAGTATATTACACTCAAAAACAGTTCATTTAAATTGTAATAGAATTGCACAATATTTCTGTTATTGCATTTTTGATCAAATTAATGCAGCCTTGGAAAATCTTACCAACCCCGAACTTAGTGTAAGTGTTTGAGCAACTGTGCTCATGCTTATGAACACAGGTGTGTTTGAAGTGTTTATTAACCTCATCATTCTCTTGGCCACCTTCATTAAAAAAGGCCGCAGTCCTTCAGGTTGTTTTTGATGATGACGTCAGTGACGGCGTCGAACACAAACTGCACATTCTTAGTGTCAGTCGCACAGGTAAAGTGGGTGTAAATTTCCTTGGTGTCTTTTTTCTTGTTGAGGTCCTCAAACTTGGTCTGGATGTAACTGGCAGCCTCATCATATTTATTGGCTCCTGTATAAAAACCACACAGAAAATATTGTCAGCAGATTAGAACATGCCGTTTTAGTTGCTTAAACCTAAGCTAAATAACCTTACAGTTATTATAATGCACTACACATTACATAAGAGCTCAAATGAATGTTCTGGGTTCAACTGAAACCTCATCGCCGCATTTGTGGGATGATTTTGACTAAGCAAAGACCTGAGTACTCAGGGAAGCAGATGGTGAGAGGGCTGCTTGTGATCTTCTCCTCAAACAGATCCTTCTTGTTGAGGAAGAGGATGATGGAGGTCTCGGTGAACCACTTGTTGTTGCAGATGGAGTCGAACAGTTTCATGCTTTCATGCATGCGGTTCTGAAAAAGAGGAGTGTGATGATTGAGAAACACAGTAACTCAACACCAGAGGGTGCTGTCAGCTTACGCTCGCTCTATGTCTAGTGTACACTAGTTTGACAAGGATCTTCACAGGTATTAGTTATGCATTAGTCAGTGTGTCACTGTTGGTAACACAGAGGACGAACGTCCAAATTAAAAACTGAGCATTTCTTTCAGAAAAGAACACCGTATTAGATTTTTAAATATCCACATACTCAAGTAGCTATTTACTTGTTTTAAGAAAAATGTTTACTTAAATTGGTACTTATTTCAAATACTATTCAATGCTAATTCAGTCAATACTATCACTATATCAATATTGTTCGCATAAAATGCTAAATGAATAAAGGAGATCATTTTTAAACAACCCTAAACAAGTGTAGCGGTCGACAATTAATAATTTGTTTAAATGTATTGCTCAACCTTAAAATAATGAATTACTCCCCCAATCTTATAATAATTTAATATAATTTTAATTTATTTAAATGTATTGCTCAACATCAAAATAATGAAATACTTCCAAAATCTTATAATCTTATATTATATAATTTTCATTTGTTTAAGCTTACTGCTCAACCTTAAAATAATGAAATATTTCCCCAATCTTATGTAATATTATATCTTTTAATGTATTGCTCAATATTAAAAAAGAAATACTTTCCCAATCGTATAATATTATATAACATTTTTTAAATTAGTTTAAATGTATTGCTCAACCTTAAAACAATGAAATATTTTCCCAATCGTATAATATTATATAATTTTTATGTTTTGCTCAACATTAAAATAAAAAATGTTTTCCCAATCGTATAATATTATATAACATTTTTTTATTTGTTTAAATGCATTGCTCAACCTTAAAACAATGCAATATTTTCCCAATCGTATAATTTTATATTATTTTAATGTATTGCTCAACCTCAAAATAATAAAATACTTCCACAAATTTATAATTTAATATTACATCATTTTATTTTGTTTAAACGTATTGATCAACCTTAAAATAATGAAATATTTCCACAATCTTATAATGTTATATTATATCCTTTTAAATTTATTTAAATGTATTTCTCAACATTAAAATAATAAAATACTTCCCCAATCTTATGATCATTTTATATCCCTTTAGTTTGTTTAAATGTATTGCTCAACCTCAAAATAAATTAATACTTCCCCAATCTTATTATAATTTTATACGATTTCATTTTATTTAAATGTATATCTCACCCTTACAACAATGAAATACTTCGTCCATTGTATGATCATTTATTTCATTTTAATATATTTAAATGTATTGCTCAATCTTATGATAATTTTAAATTATATATCAGAAAATAAAAACAATTTGGAAATTAAATGTACAATTCTTGGACAAGGTTTGCAAAACTAATCATACAATTACAAATTCATAACTCGGGGTTACTGTTTGAATAACCCACAATGTTTTTTTCCCATATCCTTTCCTTTTTTTTTTTTTTTTTATTTCTTTTTTTTAAAGATCACATCTAAAACTAAATCTTTCCAAGCCCATTGTTTTAAGGCCGTATCTGAAACTCACCATCTCCTCATCTTCTGCCAGCACCAGGTCATAAGCGCTCAGAGCCACACAGAAGATGATGGCTGTTACTCCCTCAAAGCAATGGATCCATTTCTTCCTCTCTGACCTCTGACCTCCCACATCAAACATCCTGAAGAGAGGAGGGAATAAGGAGGCCATAAAAAGGGAGAATATTTTATGTTGAAGGTACTAAAATGCAGCAGCAGAAGGTGAATGTGTCACTTTTCGCATGACCATCAACATTTCATGAGGGTCTCAGAAGAACAAAGACAAACTGAAGATAATGAGAATCCACTTTCTACCCGTATCATTTTCACTTTCCATATAGCTTCACTAGCTCTAATAACCTGTTCGACACACTTATTGTGTAACAGATTTTTTTTTGCTGTGTAATATTAATAATGCTCCATGCAGTAGCATAATGAAAGCAGAATACGGAGCATTGCAAATGTTCAGAATTCCAAGAATGAAAAGACATTGAATACATTTAATCTAAAGGATTTTGCTTGTATTATAAAAACAGATTAATTACATTATTTTAATAGTTTTTTTTTTATTTGATCATAAGGCTGCAAACATGCATTACATTTTTACTTTCATGTGGCTTGCATGTTTGTAACTTTATAATCAAATAAAAAAATATATATTAAAATGGTTAAATTATTACATTTTATAATTACTTATTTTTATAATTAAATATTTGTAAAATATAAAAATTTTCATTTTAATTCAACTACATATTTTAATATATAATTTTTTTCACTTGCTTGCATGTCCTGAAAGTAGTGTAATGGCACATTTTTAGGAAACTGTGTGTTGATTTGTGTGTGTTGCTTCTAGACACACAGCATGAAATGTCTCTCACTTGAAGTGCAGATCTTTAAAAGTGAAATGTGTCTCCACGATCCCAGTGGTCTTCACTCGGGTCCTCAAGACGTCCTGCTGGGTGGGGATGTAGTCTGCCCGTGCTATCCTGTCCAGATCATTCAGATAACTACACACAAACACACACACATATATATATATATGCAATTAGGTCACATCACAGCTCAAATGAAGAAGTGTCATGTGAATTAATCATTAATATATGCAGTCAGTTTTAAAGGGGTCAAATGATGCAATTTCAATTTTTCCTTTCTCTTTGGAGTGTTACAAGCTCTTGGTGCATAAAGAAGATCTGTAAAGTTACAAAGACTAAAGTCTCAAATCCAAAGAGATATTCTTTATAAAAGTTGAGTTAACCACATGAAGGGTTTTCTGACCATTTAAACAGTTAAAATGCAACCCTTTTCTCCTTCATGGGTGAATATTACAAAGCCTGTCAAGAACATTTCTAGGCCATACTTCACACACACACACACACACACACACGTCTGGTCAGCTATCCTTGTGGGGACTCTCCATAGGCGTAATGGTTTTTATACTGTACAGACCGTATATTCTATTGCCCTACACCAACCCTACCCCTAAACCTACCCCTCACAGGAGACTTTCTGCATGTTTAGATTTTCAAAAAACGTAATTCTGTGTGATTTATTAGCTTGTTTACCCGTGGGGACCACAATTTAGTCCCCATGAGTCTGTGTGTATTCAGGTTCAAGTCCCCACCAGAATATATAAACCAGTACACACACACACACACACAGTTCATGTGCTCTCCTGTGAAGTTCACGAGATCTTTGGCTGTTATTGCACGCTTTATCGTGAGTGAATCGTGGAAGTGTGTTTGATGCTCAGATCCACCAGCAAAGGGCAAGCGTCACTCATCATGAGCTCATCAGAAACTACTTTACAGAGTTTCTTCACCTGTCAGTCATTGTGTATATTTGGCTCATCTGACATCGGATTGGCTGATGTGTCTTTAGTAGGTGGGATTTGAAGAGCACATGTGTTTGTGTTTGAAGTCAAGAGGAAGCTAGCAAAAAATTATTGCACACACACACAAATTATATATTATATATACACACATTACATTATATTATATCTTACACCTAGAATATATAAAAATTTAAATAATTGTTATTGCTGTTAAAAAAATGTAAAAGGTAAAAAACAAAAAAACGAATTAACTGCAAAGCATTCAGCAAGTTTATTTAAAAAAATGCATTGTATACAAATTCTACAAAAAATATTATTATTATTTGTTTTTATATTATAATATTATTTTTCTTTCTATTTTATCTATATCAGTTAAAAAATATGCCCCAGATATGTTGTTAATAAATTCAATATATTCACACAAGCATGTGGTGACTGAATTATTTCCCTCTGTTATGGCAACAGTCTGTAAAGCATGAGAAAGGACGTGTAGAACTGTGCCGTGTTCACAGCCAATCAGCTCTAATCTTCACCTCTGTTCCCTGTGGCATATATACTGTGTATATATATATTTTTTATTACATTGCAAGCTCTTCAGTTCAAACTTATTTACAACATAAACAGTGATGACAAACAAGAACAATAATTCTATTAAATTAAACGCAAATAAAATGATTATTTCCTGAGGTTATGCATTCACCAATAAATGCTTAAAACATCATGCTTTTCTGATCACACAATGAGCAAATACTCAATAACCGCATTACTCTGAATAAAACGGTTTATCTCAGAGTCGTTTAGAATTACAAACATTAATGAAAAACAGAGCTAATCTATTGTGAGATGAACTGAAATGACCCACTATCTTCCTTTAGTTTGACTGTTAGATCCCATTTCATGCTTTGAGAGTTTATTTCCTAGAACGCTAGTCTTCCCGCCAGCACTGGTTTTAATGGGCGGCACTACAGAAGGTTTCAGGATGAAGATCATATGATGGGCAGAGAGAGCTGCATGGCCTGAGGATCGTGACAGACTCCATCTGCTTTAACTACTGCAGGATGAGTCTGAGACGTGGGAATGTGAAGACTTCGTTCTCTTTCAACAAATATACCGAAACAACAACAACAAAAAAACATGAAACTACATTTTACCTGAAATGGCACAACAGAACAGAAAGAAGAGTGTGCGTGTGTTTTTTTTTTTTTACTGATATAGATAAAATACATGTATGGTTGACGTTTTAATCATGTATAATCATATATATATATATTCCAAAGTCAAAATGACATACATATACATTTAATTTATAGACTTTATAATAAAATAAATTATAAATACTTGATGTTTATATAAAATATTTATCTAGACCTGGAATTTAAATAAGGATTTTTAATAAGAATTTTACACATTTTATTTATCTACTTTAAATAAACAACATATTTATTGATTTATATTTTATTAATAATAAATACCAGAATATAATTTAATATTTTTCAGGCAGAACATTTTTAAATTTATAAAACATTTACATTTAATATCAACTTTGTCTACAAAACAACATGCATCTAAGCAATCACCTTCAGATTGAATGCGTCCAAACTTTCAATTTAATGATGTCACTGTGTGTGTGTGTCTGTCTGTGTGTGTGTGTCTGTGTGTGTGTCTGTGTGTGTGTGTGTGTGGTCAGTGAAGGTCTGAGTGAGTTCAGATCGTGACCTCATTAAAGACAGGAGACATCTCTGCTAACAACAACAGATGGACTTGGCATTGAGTTCCCTGCTTGGACCTGCCTCCCATCATGCATCAGTGTTTATGCGCTGGTGCTAAAACACAATTAAAGTCACATTCTGTCTAGGGAGAGATTTGTAATTTAGTTTTGTGCTGCCACTCCTCGCACAATTGTGTTCCTCAAGTGTTTGTGTTTATGCAGCTCTGAAGTACACGGATGAAATCTAATTAAACAGCAGGCCGTGTGAGGCGTGAGCTGCAGTGATCCGACAGAGGTGAAGGAGAGAAGGGAGAGGATTTAACTGCTGAAAAATGACTAACACACGGCCTCCAGTGGCTTACTGCTCTCATAAACCAACAGCAATATGATAAAAGACATCAACGATTGTGTTTTATGATTAAGCCAACATTTTAACTGCTGTGCAAAAGTATGGGGTAAGTTTATATATATATATATAAAGAAAGTAATACTTTTATTCAACAATTGTGCATTTGGTTTAAAAAAAAAACACTAAATGTTACAAAAAATAATATAAAAAAAAAATGCTGACCTTTATTCATAAAATAATCCTAAAAAATGTATCAGTTTCCAAATATGAAACAGCACAACTGTTTATAACATTGATAATAATAAGAAACGTTTCTTGAACAGCAAATCAGCATATTTGCCCTGGACCATAAAACCAGTAATAAGGGTCAATTTAATAAGCTTTCCATTGATGTATGGTTTGTTATGATATGACGATATTTGGCTGAGATAACAACTATTTGAAAATCTGGAATCTGAGGGTGCAAAAAAAAAAATCAAAATATTGAGAAAATCGCCTTTAAAGTTGTCCAAATGAAGTTCTTAGCCATGCATATAAGTTTTGATATATTTGCAGTACGAAATGTACAAAATATCTTCATGGAACATGATCTTTACTTAATATCCTAATGATTTTTGGCATAAAAGAAAAATCTATAATTTTGACCCATACAGTGTATTGTTGGCTATTGCTACAAATATAGCACGTCACCTCTGTGCACGTCTACATGTGTTCAAACATCAAGTCTATCTCTGCTGTGAGAATATATCTCCTAAACATGGTTTTCTTACATTGCCAGATTGCCAGGGTATTTATGAGCTGTGAAATGCACGCACTGTTCCCTAAATAACTAAATTAATAAAAATAACCATAAAAATAATTAACGTAAAAATCAATTAATCTAATTTTAGGCCATTTTCATGCCTATCAGTGCAGCAATTTATGCATTTATAAGGAATTCAATTCAGTCAAGACGGTGAACATGACTCATCGGATGAGATTTTAGGGGCGGAGCTATATGCATTTTAGAATAAGGGCATCCACAGTGTTACACTATATACATGCCAGTGAAATACCTACCAATAAAATACAGCAGTGATGAGAAAAACTAGTAAGACTATGCTATCTGACTAAATTCCATATGGAGCATGTGTATGAGTGTGTAAATGTACAGTAAGATGTGCAGCAGGAGCAGTATTGTGTGTGTGTGTGTGTGTGTGTGTGTGTGTGTGTGGACACTCACTAGGCAGCAGAGTCGTTGAGCTGATATTCTCTGGATCGGGTGAAGCATCCCTGAACCCCGCTGTCGGCCCACAGTCTGCAGATCGCATTGGCCAGATCATCAGTTAAGATGCCCTGCTCCTCCGCTGCTGCAGACAGAGCAAACAGCTGCCGCGCATCGTCCTGCACGCGCACACAGACACACACAGACAGACACA